CTACTTGAGGACAGAAAATAGAAAGAATATAGACATAGTTCTATCTGATAAATTTTATTGCTTTTACCAATAGCCACGTCATCCCCCCCCCTCCACCCCAATGGAAAGCATCTTGTGACATTGCAAGTATAATATTAACTGGAAGAAAACATACCCACGGCTCAAAAGATCTTCAGACGGATCAGAGGCAGCATATTGTAAACTGTGTCAGTGCACTTATGCACCAAGAATTAGTAGCATATCAAATCATGAAAAATCCGAAAAACACAGGATGAAAACTCCGTCAAAAAGGCAGTGACAACTTATTACAACAATGACTCCTAGGTAAAGTAATGATGAAGTCATTGCAGAGTTGTAACTTGTTGTAGGCATGACCTGCCATTGTGCAATATGCACAAATGATCATCTAAGTGAAATCGTGAGAGCACATGGTCTAGGGAGTACATTGGAGCACATACAGTTGCATAGAACTAAATGTTCATGCCCCCCCCCCAAAAAATGTTATATATATATATATTATATAATATATATATATAATATATATATATATATATATATATATATATATATATATATTATATCGCATGCACTTAAGGATGACCTTATTGATGATTTTCGGAACAAAAAATATGCCATCATTATAGATGAGTTGCAAAGACTTAATCCCATGTGAAAAAATCCTTACAGATTTTACATTCAAAAAGGTTTACGTTGTATCTTCCACTGGTTCCAGTGAGGATGACAGTGAAGAATCCAATTTAGAGTTTTTCATGTGACGTAATACAATGTTACACTTTATTTGGCATTTTCTGAAATATTTTGGGTAATGGTTTGGCATAAAATGAAGTTTTTTTTTTTTATCTGGTAATCCTGCGTCATTCTCTGTCTGACTGCCAAGAAGAACAGATATTCTTAAAACAGCCTCGTATATATATATATATATGCTTTGAGGAGGCGGCCTTTGGTGTCTATGACATTTCCTAAGCTTGGGATGATATCTTCTTGGAGGCCAGGCAGTGAATCGGCGGTCCACAAAACCACCAAGGAAGACACCTATGTCTAAGCCAGTGGTGGGCATCAGATTGTAAACCAAACTTTTGTCATCAATTAATTGAAATCTTTCAGTTGGTCTACAGACAACATTATGGGTGTTGCACCTTCACTATCATTTATCCGGAAGCTTGTTTGTGCCTCAAGTGATTGACTTGGTACCCGAGATCCTCTCCAGGAGCTTGGGTGTGTCTCCAGTGTTCGAGTGTCTTGTGTGGGAATTTTCAACGTAACAAAAGAGTGACTGAACATTCAGCAAGCTCAAGAAACCAGGGATTCAGATAAGTGTGGTCAATCATTGGTTTATTGCCAGGCTTCACTGTTAATCGTCCACATGATCATGATGATGATCTAGGCGGACTTTGCGAATTTCGTACACAAGCAGTCAGATCTATTTGGAAGTTTTGGTCCTTCATATCACTCTGGGTTCTTGAAGTTCTTTGCTGATTCTTATATAATGTATGTGTTGCATTTATTAGATGTTCAGAAAGTTTCATTATTGACTTGAGTGTCCTTCATTCACTGTTCCAACGGTCTAGCTTTTATGTTGGTGTGATTAGTAAGTGTAATATGTGTTAACATGGCTGTGATAGTGCACTATCATAGCCTGGAGCTATCTTTTTATAGTAGTGGGGGTGTCCAGCCAAGTTGTGCCTAGGATTACTAGATATTCTGTAGTGTCAGAACTTGAGTTGCCCTACTTCTGAAATAAGTTGAGCGTATATTGGCCAAGGGGACATCCCTTAGACCAATACAAGCCGACGCCTCAACATTATTTATTGCAGAGTGCTGTTGGTTCTTAAGAAGAAATCCTTAAATCAGACACGCGACACGAGCGGTATGTGACACCTATTCTGTTTCTTTTTCAGTAATGCATCTTCCATCTGATGTTATCCATGTGGCCAGATACTTAAGTTTATGTACTTGTCCCAAAATAAAACTATTGACTTTTATTTCACATTTAGGAATAATTATTTTCTTTGATACCACTATACTTCTGTCTTCCTACTATTCAAACTGAGGCCCATTCGTCCACTTTCGAAAAGTGTATAAAATAGATCTAAAAAAAAAAAAAAAAATCATCCATAATGTCAAATGTACGCTGAAATTTTACTTCATAAAATGTAGTACAGAATAGTAAACATTTAAAAACATTTAATGTTTTGCATCCTTCAGTCAGTCAGTCTGTGGTAACTAATACCAAGGAATGAAAGTAGTCTTAGTTTTATGACAAGTAACTAAACTTGTAAATTGTCACTGACAGCTTAGTTAATCCATGAAAGCGGCATTAGCTTTCACATGTTTTCAGCATTAAGGCAGATTCTTGTCTCACTGAAGGTAATTCCAGCTGTACTAAACAGACGTTCACTTGGTACGCTCGTAGGTGGTGCACAAAGATAACGCTTGACAGTATGAACCAAGGTGGGAAATCTCGATGTTTATTTTCCAC